CTCTCTCTCTCTCTCTCTCTCTCTCGTGCTCTCTCTCTCTCTCTCAAAATAATGATCTTTAAAATAGTATCATATGACCCCTTTAAGATGTTTATAATTTAGAATGTATGTAAAACTTTGTATCAGATGTTTGTACACAGCAGATGCTTTCCAGGTGAAGCGATCTTTAACAGACATAGTCTACATGTGCTATCTGGGTTTGAACCAGGTTGATTTAAGAATCAGTGGGGGGGGGGGGGGGGGACCCCAACCAACCCCAAACCCAACAACCCCACAGTCCCCACCCCACTACTCCACTACTCCCCTGCCCCTCTGGAGGTCTGTGCACGCCACTGATTGTGCTCCTGACTCTTACACTCAGCCCTGCTAACAGACGAAGTAGGCTATCATATAAATAATTTATTCGAAATTTTGATCATTTTAATGACTTTACTAATTGGAAACTTGAGGGCAATCCACTGGACCATAATTTACAAACTCAGTGTCGTAATATGATATGTTCCAAGATAACACATAATGTATATCCCCTAGCCAATTCTGGGGGGGTGGGGATGGGGGGGTATTTCGAGCCCCTGCCCCTTTAATCACCATCCCCAACCAACCCCAAACCCAACAACCCCACAGTCCCCACCCCACTACTCCACTACTCCCCTGCCCCTCTGGAGGTCTGTGCACGCCACTGATTGTGCTCCTGACTCTTACACTCAGCCCTGCTAACAGACGAAGTAGGCTATCATATAAATAATTTATTCGAAATTTTGATCATTTTAATGACTTTACTAATTGGAAACTTGAGGGCAATCCACTGGACCATAATTTACAAACTCAGTGTCGTAATATGATATGTTCCAAGATAACACATAATGTATATCCCCTAGCCAATTCTAATGATCAAATCGTTCACTTATTCACTAATCCCTATATAGTGTATGGCAGTTGAGTGCACTATATCAGAAAGTAGTGAACGAATTCAGACACTGACGTATACACTGTGTGTCAGAAAGCTGGAGCTGTCGAGGAAACATCTTCATCACATTTGTACTTTTATATTACATGTAGGCCTACCTTATTTTGGAAAATAATATTAATTAATAACAATAATACTCACAATGACTTTATATTGTAATTATACATACCTCCACACCAGCTTTGTTTTTTCATCGATGGATATTATTAGGCCCAATATGTTTCATTTGTAATGCTTAATATGTTAATAATCATTAAATACTATTAAAATACTGGTAACACATAGACACATACCTCAATACAAATAGTCATCCAAAAGAAAATTCCCTCCAATCCTAAAGCCATGGCAAATCATACATGGTGAAAGTTTGGCCCATATGTGCTCCGCCATGCCATACCTAGGCCAAATGTGACAGCTATCAGCCATATTTGGCCCAAAACTTTAAAGGGGACATAACACACACAGTTTCTGCGTGTGTCGGGTGGGTGGGATCACCTGCAATGCAGAGGGCTTTGCGGGGGAGACGGGGGTTGTAGATGTCCTGAAGGGGGGGGTGAGAGGCACCAACGATCTTCTTAGCTGCTCTCACTATGCGTTGAAGTGTCTTGCGGCAGGGCGCGTTGCCGGCGCCATACCACACAGTGATGCAGCTGGTCAGGATGCTCTCGATGGTGCCTCTGTAGAAGGTGCACATGATGGGGGCCGGGGCTCTGGCTCTTCTCAGTTTGCGGAGGCAGTAGAGACGCTGCTGTGCTTTCTTGGCCAGTGCTGCGGTGTTGTCAGTCCAGGAGAGATCCTCTGTGATGTGCACACCCAGGAACTTGGTGCTGCTCACCCTCTCCACAGTCACACCATTGACGGTCAGAGGAGCATGCTGAGTGCGCACTCTCCTGAAGTCAACAACAATCTCCTTCGTCTTCTCCACATTCAGAGAGAGATTGTTGTCACTGCACCACCCGGCCAGGCGGCTCACCTCGCTCCTGTAGTTTGTCTCATCTCTGTTGCTAATGAGACCCACTACAGTCAAGGTTACAAGGTTACCCACTACAATCTGAGGTTAATGTGTATTTATATATAAAGTGTATTTACCACCGAAATACTCATATGTCAAATGTCCAAATCGTTTTTTGAAACTTTGGCCATGTTTAGCATGAAAATC